CGTCAAAAATCATCTCAATTTCGTAATATGTTTTCCCTTCTAAAAAAACCAACCAAGAAAACTAGAATAAACATAAATCCTACGAAAATTACACTGCAAAGTCGCTGATTTATTAAAAAAAAATGGAAAAAAATTTTTTTTTTTTTCATTTGCACTGTGTGGCAGGTTTTTTTTTTGACGTGCACACGACCACATAGACCATTCTTTTATGAAGGCCTACCGCTTTTCCCCTAGATTTTAGGGCGCTAGAATTTTTGATACTGTACGTCAAAAAAACCCCCCGCGTTTAAAACGTACTGTACGAGAAAAACCCCCCAAAAGGGTTAAAGGAAGTTGATAACTTTTTAGTGATTTGTGTGAACAATTTTGGCGTGTAAAGGAGTGTTGGGCAAAAGAGTGTAGTGCGAAATTTTTCAAAGAACGTTTTTCAGTAACTCAACGGATATCCGGGCGTTAATTTGGGTCAAAACAATACCCCGGTAAGTGTTTTTAATATGTATACTATTGATGCGCAGTTGAGTAAAAAAAAGTCGTGAGTTAGTCACTTTTATAAAACCCCCGGGGATATGGGGGACCCTTTTGGTCCACACACGTAATTTGTCGCAATCAGTGAATGAATTTTGAAATAACACCCCTAGGGGGAAATTTATTGTTTACAAATTATAATCATTTAGCCCGTTGGGAATGACTTCGACGCTTCTCAAAAACCTCGCTGAGGGGGGGCTGTGCGGGGTGAGATTCTTTCTAAGTTAAATTTTCCTAAACAAAAGTAAAAAAAGTTGCTGGTAAAACCCATTTTCCAAAAACATCACTCCATCTGGTATATATACCCCGGATGCTCGGTATGGAACACATTTCAAAAGATAATGATGTAAGAGATAAGTCGTTGATCAAAGAAAATGTGGCCCACGATGGCTCCAACTTATCCTGTTCCCTACTTGTATGTTCATAAAAAAAAAATACTTTCAATGAGTGTGTAGGTAACAGTTTAGCTTGCCCAAAAAAGTTAGGAAACCTTAACCTGTAAATTGCTTGTCAAAAAGTGGGGCCCTTAAACCCTTTTCAAACCCTTGTTAAAAAAAAAAAAAAAAAAAAAAAAAAAAAAAAAAAAAAAAAAAGTATCTTATATAATGGTTAGCAAGACAGAGGAAAGTTCACAGAGACACCAAAGGCATGAGAATAAAATTTACTTTGAAAAGAAAGGGAGTTTAGAGCTCACACAAAAGTGAATAAGATCAAGAAAGACATCAGTAGGTATAGGGAGATGAAGTAATCCTTCATTAGCCATTTCTCCAAGAAAATTAAGATCACCATCAAGAGGGACACTGGTGAAAGAGGGACTCACCGTCAAGACTGAGCATCTTGCAGGTCAGGAGAGGATGAATACGTTCGATGACATCTTTAGTGATGAAGGTGAGCAGGAGAAAAAGTACCAAGAAAAGGAGTGTGAGTTTTGGCCAGTCAAGGGACAAGAGAATAAGAGACAGAGCCTCTAGAGGATATGATGGGACGTAGAGGGATATCAGGTTTATGAGTTTTAGGAAGACCATAGAAATAAAGCAGAGAGGGACAAGGTCAAAATCAGGAGGACAGAGATCGGAAAGAACTCGAAGTTTATTACTGAAAGTTCTCGATGCGATAAAGAGGATTGGAAACGAAAGAACTGTAGGTAAATGAGTCAGAGAGCAAGGCTTCAGCTTTGCAGAGGTAATCCTCACGATCACGGGTAACCACCTAATTGCCTTCGTCAGAAGAGAGGATTACAATACAGCCTCTCCTCACTTAGCAACGTACTCATTTACTGACAACTCGAACTTACGACGAGCTCTCTGACCAGTATTCATACCTAAATAATGTATATTTGAGCTGATTTCCTCTATTCTGTACATGACAATATACAGTACACTACTGTATAAACATTTAAAAATATACCAGAAATGTTATAAATGGTGCATAGGTGACATTTAAAACAATATCAAAGATGGTTGACACAAACCCACTACTATTATAGTATGCTCCTCACTTAGCGACGAATTCATTTACAAACATGGTCTTAGGAACACAACTCTGTCATTAAGTGAAGAGAGGCTGTGTTGGTATTGATTCCGAGAGTGAGAATGATGAAAGGGATCAAAGAACTAATCAGATAAATACCTGTGCAAGGGGTAAGTGAAGTGGCAAAGGAATGACCAAAACCAAAAAATTCAAGCTGGTGTTGGGAGAGTGTGACAGTAGACAGATTACACTGGTCAACAACTTTTGAAGAGTTGTATGCTTCTTGAATGAGGTTAGTTAATTCTTAAGTATTTTCATGTCCTGAATCTATGTATCACCTTGAAAAATACTTACTGGCTATATATTTAAAGATACGAGACATGTAATATTTGAATATTTTATTATAACATACAATATACAGTAGTCCCTCGTTTATCGTCGTTAATCCATTCCTGGAAGTGCGACGATTATCAAAATAGACGATTTTCGAATAAATTTTCCCCATAAGAAATAATGTAAATGCAATTAATCCGTTCCTGACACCCAGAAGTATTAAAACAAAAATTTTTTTTACATGAAATATAGATGTAGTACATAAACAATACAATGGGATACAATGAATGAAACATTAACAGCATAACACTTACCTTTATTGGCGATTCTTCTTAGTGTATGGAAGACTGGAGGAGAGAGATTGGATTAGTTACTGTTTGGAAGGGGAATCCCCTTCCATCAACACCTCAGGTACCAAGTCCTTTTCTGGGGTTACTTCTCTTCTCTGTTTCTTAATGCCACTAGGACCAGCTTGAGTCACTGAGTCCTTTCTCGCAAAAAAAGTGTCCAGAGAGCTCTGTTTCTGGCGTCTCTTCAAAACTTCCCTAAAATGGGCCAAGACTCTGTCACTGTACAAGTTGTCGATATGGCTTACAACATATTTCTCAGAGTGATGTTTCTCCATAAATCTTTCCATCCTACCCCACATTTCAAAAATCTCCTTAATTTCTGAAGAAGGTACCTTCTTCCATCTCTCTTCCTCCTCTGCAGCAAGATTCTGAGCTGCAATCTGTTGCTGTTCCTGCTGAGGCCCTTTTAGCTCCTCAGTGGTTAGCTCTTCGTTGTGGTCCTCCACCAACTCTTCCACATCCTCCAAACTTACATCCCACCCCATGGAACTCCCCAATGCCACAATAGAGTTCACAACTGGCATAGGCTCATCAGGGTCAGCCACAAACCCTTCAAAATCCCTCTTGTGGACACAATCTGGCCACAATTTTCTCCAAGCAGAGTTCAAAGTCCTGGTAGTCACTCCCTCCCCAAGCCTTACTATAAAAAGCTTATGCAATGGAGGATACTGAAGTGTTCTTTCCAAAAATCTTTAGAGTCAAGTGAGTGTCTGGGGGTCACATTAAAGCACCTTTCAAACATTGCTTTTGGTGTAAAATTTTTTAAGTTTGAAATGACCTGTGGTCCATGGGCTGGAGGAGAGGAGTGGTATTCGGGGGCAAGAACTTTACTGTGATGAACTCAAACTCCTTCAGAATAAGGTCATCCAAGTTTGGAGGATGAGCAGGTGCATTGTCCATTACTAGGAGGCACTTCAGATCCAATTTCTTTTCCAGAAGGTAATTCTTCACACTAGGGCCAAACACTTCATTGAACCACACGATGAAAATTTCCCTCGTGACCCATGCCTTATTATTAGATCTCCAAAACACACACAATTTACTCTTCATAACATTGTTTTTCCTGAACACTCTGGGATATTCAGAATGGTACACTAGTAACGGCTTCACTTTGAAATCCCCACTAGCACAGAACATGAGTGTCAGCCTGTCTTTCATAGGCTTGTGTCCTGGCAGTCCCTTTTCCTCCTGAGTAATGTAGGTCCTCTTTGCCATTTTCTTCCAAAAGAGGCCTGTTTCGTCACAATTGAACACTTGTTCAGGTTTCAGTCCTTCAGCCTCTATGTATTCCTTGAATTCACTTACGAATTTTGTAGCTGCAATTTTGTCTGAACTGGCAGCCTCACCATGCCTTATCACACAGTGTATGCCACTACGGTTCTTAAATCTCTCAAACCAACCTTTGCTGGCCTTAAATTCACAAATATCAGTACTCGTTGCAGGCAATTTCTTTACCAGATCGTCATGCAACTGCCTAGCCTTTTCACAAATAATCGACGTCATAAGACTATCTCCTGCTAATTGTTTCTTGTTTATCCACACCAATAACTTCTCGACATCTTCGAGTACTGGTGATCTCATTTTTGTCAGCATATTTGCCCCCTTCGCAACAACAGCTTCCTTGATTTCCTTTTTCTAGACCACGACGGAAGATATGGTTGTACGGGATTTGTTATACATCCTGGCCAGTTTGGCCATATGTACGCCACTTTTATATTGTTCAATGATGTTTTTCTTAAATTCAGTCGTATTTCTCACCTTTTTTACCAAAGGCTTAACACTAGAAGCTTTCTTTGGAGTCATGGTAGCTTATTTAGCACTTGCAAGCACTAAAATGAATGGAATATTATGAAATATTTCATATGAACAAGTGAGGGGACCATTGCTCACTGGTAAACAATGGCACACTGGCTGGGAAGGGAGGTCGACGCGGCTCAGAGCCGTGAGTACGAGTCCAGGACGAACGATGATTAGCGAGTCAACCGACCATTTGCGAGACAATGTTTGGACTAAAATAACGCGACGATTTCCGAAAAGGACGACTATCGAGCTTAACAATTATTGAGGGACCACTGTATGTCAATATGTTTTAAAACACTAATCTGTACCTACTCTCTGTCTTTCTGCTTGATGCTTATAGTGGGCTGAAGAATCATCTTTTGCCAATGTCCAACAATAGTCTGCAAGCATTCTTGTGCCCCATTTGCCCTGGTACCATTTTTCCATGGTTGAAATATCTTTGTGAAACCTTTCACAAAAGGCAAGAACTATTAAGAAATTAGAAGGAACTCAGCTGTGCTAAATATAAATATAATTACTCACCAAGATTTATTATGGCCACTTTGCGTCCAACACTGCGAAGCAACGATGCCATGGCTTGACAGTAAGTAGTTTTACCACAACCAGGTGGACCTAATACTACTTGACCATACTTAACAACCATCCTGCCTGAAAGGGGTTAGTAATTATGCAAATTATGTGGATGATATACATATGTATAGCTATATACAAATAATTCACACATAGGAGAGAGAGAGAAAAGCTCATGATGATATTTTAGTCCAACTTGGGCCATCCATAAATAACACTGACAGAATGAGCCAGTATATATAGATGAAGTGAACAAGGATGGGAGAAAGAGAGGAAAGAAAAGTAGTGGTAGTGGGAATGCTAATAGTGGTAGTAGAAGTAGTGGTAGTAGAAGTAGTGGTAGTAGAAGTGGTGGTAGTAGAAGTGGTGGTAGTAGAAGTAGTGGTAGTAGAAGTAGTGGTAGTAGAAGCAGTGGTAGTAGTAGTAGTGGTAGTAGAAGTAGTGGTAGTAAATATAGGGTTTGTATGAAGTGGTGGTAGTAGAAAATAGTGGTAGTAGAAGTTTGGGGGTAGTAGAAGTAGTGGTAGTAGAAGTTTGTGGTAGTAGAAAACAGTGGTAGTAGAAGTATGGTAGTAGAAGTAGTGGTAGTAGAAGTAGTGGTAGTAGAAGTAGTGGTAGTAGTAGTAGTGGTAGTAGTAGTAGTGGTAGTAGAAGTAGTGGTAGTAGAAGTAGTGGTAGTAGAAGTGGTGGTAGTAGAAGTAGTGGTAGTAGAAGTGGTGGTAGTAGAAGTAGTGGTAGTAGAAGTAGTGGTAGTAGAAGTAGTGGTAGTAGAAGTAGTGGTAGTAGAAGTAGTGGTAGTAGAAGTAGTGGTAGTAGAAGTAGAGGTAGTAGAAGTAGTGGTAGTTGAAGTTTGGTGTAGAAACAGTGGTGTGAAGTAGTGGTAGTAGAAGTT